CATGCTCGTCCCCCTGCACGCCCGCCAAAGCTGAAGCCTCTTCTGTTTCCTCAGCTGTTCCCCCGCCCCCTATCATCTATAGGCACACAGCAGAGGCCGAAGGCCCATCCGCCTAAGCTGAACGTGTTGTTCCAATACACCAGCAGCCGCTGCCTCCTCCCCTCCGCGGCCGTCCCCAATTTGGCCCGCTGGCGTCAGAGCCTAAGGCCTGCGTCATCGTCGTCGCTGCAATGCTGATGTGCTGCTGCTGCTGCTGCTGATCTTGCCCCTTCTTATCCACATACATCTCCGAATGCCGAAGCCGCCATCGCTGATTCGCAAACTCGCCATCGTGATCGTCGAAGTCACTTTTGCTGATGTCAGTGATGTGCAGGATGTGTTGCTGGCTTTGTTTTCGCTGCAACTGATGCTCGTGCACCTTGTCACTAGGTCGTCCCTGTAAACCGCTACAACTTGTTGCTGGCACGCTCCCAATCGTGCCGTCAGTGCCGCTGCCGCGTGACTGCTACCACAATCCAGACCGCTGTGGCCAATCAATGGTGCTGCTGCCCATGCCCGTCGGGACCTACTCACCTGGGCCAATCCAAACCCGGGTCAGTCAGGCTTTGCAAGATCCTGCAAAATCCTGCACCCAAGCCCAGGTCAGTGGCGCCCCTGGCTCTGCAGGATCCTGCAAGACCCAGCGCTCTGGCAGAACCCCGTTTGTATTCTGGATGCTCGCTCTGGGGACTATTCTGGAGACACTCGCTCCACTCGTGCGTCGAAACTGCGTCGAACGTCCGTCGATTTGAGTCGACCTTGAGTCGAACCTGAGTCGAATCTGAGTCGAACTTGAGTCGAATTTGAATCGACCTTGAATCGAACCTGGGTCGAACTTGGGTCGAACAAACGCGTCAGGTGGGCCCCAGGAAGGTCCCCGAAACGAGCATCGAATGTATTTACCCCTGTATCCAGGCTCCCGAATTGGCAGCCACCGCCGGCTCCTGGAGGCCGCGCGAAGTCTCACTCCGAACCACCCCTTTCTTCTCATCCGCGTCGGCCCCGCACAGCATTAGGTCGGGCGTGTCCTCCTACAGGCGGATTTTGGAGGAAAAATGAAACATAGAAATCCCGCATAGCCAAACAAAAGTCCCCATACGATTCTGACAAAAATAATAATAATATATTTCCTCTGTAGAAAGGCATGCCCGATTTGAGCAAAGCAGCCAGGCGGAGGAGGAGCAGTAGGGGGAGGAGGAGGAGGAGGAGGAGCAGTAGGGGGAGGAGGAGGAGGAGGAGGAGGAGGAGGAGGAGGAGGAGGAGGAGGAGGAGGACGACGAGGAGAAGGAGGACAGGGCACCCGCAGTGCCGAGGCGCGGAGGAGGACGAGCGGGCAGAGCCAAGGCTGCTGGCGCGCAGAAGTGGGGCGTCCGGGGCAGCGAGCGGAGACGAGGAGGCAACCCGCCGACCCTGACGGCGCGCGTGTATGGGGTCGCTCATAGGGGTGCTCGTCCTTTGGGGGTGACCCTGGGAGGCGCTGGTCCATTCGACGGCCTCACCCGGATGGGCCTGTCTTCCACCACCACCACCACCAGAAGTTGGAGGGGGGACGGAGGATGAGGAGGGGAGGCCGAGAGGTGGGGGAGGATGAGGAGGAGGAGGAGGAAGAGGACCCCCTCCCCCTCCAACTTCTGGTGGTGGTGGTGGTGGAAAACAGGCCCATCGCACCCGCCTTCCCAGCGGGGGCCGTCCGAGCTCGCCAGCCCGATCCGAATCCTCCTCCCATGCCGCAGTCAGGCCGAAGGGAAGCCGCTGCCCCATGGTGCCTTCCCCGCCAGGGGGGCCGCGGGGGGACCCCGGGAGGGGTCCCAAGGGAGGTCCTGGGAGGCTCCCAGGAGAGCCTCCTCTTGTGGCAACTCTTTGGGTCACCTGGGCCCGCCAAGAGCCTCTTGGGGCCGGCCTCCGCGCTCTTTTGGGAGTCTCTCGGGCAGTCTCCATGGCCAGCACCGGCTGAAGCTGACAGGTGCTGCGTGAAAAAACAACAAAAAAAAAAAAAAGAAAACAAACCATAAGGAGAAGAAAAAAAACTACAAAACTCTACCAGAATAAAAAAAAGGTGCTACGAGCGTGATCTGAACCTCCTCGCCGCATCGATGGCGAGGGGGTCCACGACGGCCCACGAACCCCTTCTAAGATGGCCCGAGAGGCCCAGAGAGTTCCCAAAGAGGCCCCCCCCCAACAAAAAACATGCCACTTGCGCACCGCCAGAAGCCAGCCCCTTCCGAGGCCCCTCCGACAGAGGCGAAGATCCCTAAGAGGCCCACCAAAGGCCCCGCGACGCACCCAAGTGTGCCGTCAAGGCCCCGAGGGAGCCCCCGAGGGAGGCTCCTGAGATCCACCCACGTGCTCTCAGAGCCTCTGGAACACTTCAAAGGCACAGTGGCGGGATGGGCCGAAGACTGCTAGATCTCCGCCCTCGCATTCAAGCCGCCACTGCCCCGTTCCCCGTCCCCCTTCCACC